GAGACCGAATCAAACTTACAAGCTTTTGCACAGCAAAGGAAACCATAGCCTTTTAAAAGTGGCAACTCCTAGGCCTTACCCTTCATCTGTGAAATCAGAAATTTTAGGAGAGAGCTTAGGAATGTGCATTTTTAAAAGTGCCAGAACTTTATTTTATGCACACTAGAATATGAGAACTTCTGGTTTAATTCAAATTCTGTCACTTATGGGACATAATCAATTGAAACAAGGGCCAGTTTCCTTTATGTAGAAGGTCTTCTATTTCAGTGGTAGCAGTAGTAAGCTCTTGTCAAAATGCCAAATATATGTGGGATACAATAATAGCTATTAGGTTAATTAAAGGATGCTACTAAATTAGAAAGTGCCAATTGTCGAAGGTTTATTATGAATGTAATGATCTTAAAGCAATGGGAAATAATTAGCATTTAAATTAAGTTGTAGGTTAGCCACAATAAGGAAAGGTTAGCTTGCTATGAATTTTTATAGGGTTATGATCTTATTTTTGGATTGATTTGAGCATTGACTATAACCTAATTTAATGAAAATTTTGGAATAATAAAATTGTCATTATTAACTGAGCTACATATTAATTGATGAATGTTTTTGAACATGCTTGCACTGGATTAACCATTAAAATTTACACAAGATAAATCTGGATGTAAAGTTTTAGACATGTAATATTTAAGTAATTCCAATACTTTATTACTGTGATTAGATTTATCAGGCTATCCACAAGGGTCATAGTTATAAGGAGCATGGCTTTGCTTTAACTGTATTTTTTCCCAAAATTTTAGGTCGTGTGTGTGGTAAATAATTTCAAAGGAAGACAACCAGAAAATGAGCATATACACACAGATAATCTGGCACAGATGCCAATGATCAGCATTCCTCGAGTAGAAAGTCCTTTGGAAAAGGTAACATCTGTACAGGTGATTCATAATTTAAATTCTAAATGTGATTGTTAGAGCAAATGAATAATTACTCTTGAGAGTTCCTACACAGTCATTTTTGATTTACTAAAGCAAGCTCAGAGTCTAATGTGATATTTAGCAAGAATTTAGTCACTGAATACAACATCTTAGAAAAATGCATATCACATGGAAAACATTTCTTCAAATCCCTCACGCTAAAACCTGAGTCTGTACATGGGGTGCGTTCTGTAAGTTGCCATAGCTTCAAGATAGGAATGTTATACAGTGGTCCCACACATGGGCAAAATAATAAGATAGTTTTACTTGAGAATATAAGCATTTTTTCATAGCATATATTCCATTTCTTCCATGCCTCACTTATATGAGAAACTGCTTAGTGTAACAACTGGCACATAATCAGGACTCAGTAAATATTTGTTGAACCTCAGTGTATAAAGTTCTGGCAGCAGGGAATCACCAGTCATGCTCTCTTGCTCAGGGGGGGAACTGGGGGTCAGGTTGGGCTGAAGGGAGCCTGACTAGGTAGCACTTTGATTGACAGGTCAAGGCCTCATTGGGCATAGCAATGAACAGAGAAGCAGGTAGATAACAATAACTTTTCTTGAGACTTTAAATGACTGCTCAGAGGGTTACTAATGTCTTCTCCTCAGCCCTGTCCACGTCCAGATTTTGATCAATATCTTAGATGAAGAGTTCAGTTACATGCTAATTGGCGGTTTAGGTGGTCTGAGTCTGTGAGGGATAATTAATACATTGGATGGAAGAATAAAAATTCTTGGAAGAGTACAATAAAGATACAACTAACAATTAACTAGAAATAAAGGAAGTGTTTTGTATTTGGACTTTTAAAAAAAGCTCCTGTAGGGTAGGATATGTCTAGGTTAAGTGCACAAATGAAAAAGGCTCAGAGAATATAGTAGTTTACCATTCAACTTGGGTCAACAGCATGATATGGCTTCCAGAAGTTAATATGGTTTTAAGTCCCACTTAGGGAAAATGATATCCTGAATGAGGGGTTTGATGGTTTGCTTTGCTCAGACCAACTTGGTGTACTGTGTACTGCCCTTGGCAACATGGTTTAAAGGTGAATATTGATAAAATAGAAAAGTTGACAATAAATATTTGTTAAGTGAGCAAATAGATGTGTCTAAGATGGTGAGTGGACTCAAAATCATGGATTATAAGAGACTGGAAGGAACAAAAATGGTTAGTTTATAGGAAAAGAAAACTCAAGAAAGAAGCAATATCTTCCCATAAATATCTGAAATATGGCAGAGGGATGCAATTTGTTCTGTGGGGCCTCAGAGATCACAATTAAGATGAAAGAAATGAAAGTGTAGAAAGATAAATAATGTCTGGTAAGTAGTAACAACTTTCTGAAAGTGAAATTCCCACCTTAAAAGCAATGAAATTTCTTTTTACTATAGGGATTCAAGAATAGCTAAATAATCACTTATCCATGATACTGCGGAAGGAATTCAAGCATTTAGATGAGGATAGAGACACTAGATGATGATGATGATGATGATGATGGTAATAAAATAGCAATGAGCATTTAGTGATGATTCAGAATGTGTCAAATACTATGGTGATTGCTTCCACAAAAACACTTCTGTGCTCTACAAGTAGAATTTTATCCTTTACAACAATTTTTAAAGCTGAGTATTATTAGTGGCAAAGACTGCTAATAGTTGACCAGTATTCGTTCTCCCCTTCTTCCTTTTAGCTACTGAAATTTCCCACTCCAATTTTAGCTACACTCAGCTGCCCAGCTGTAGTCTTTTTCCCAGCTTCCCTTGCAGTTAGGTGTGACCATGCAACCAAGCTTAGACCAATACAATGTGAGCAGAAGGGTAGGTGCAACAACCTCTGGGTCATCTCTTTGAAAACTCTTGTCCTGGACATTCTGTATGCCTTCTCGCCAAATGGAAAAGGTAAATGACTGGAATAGTCTTTAATTTTTAAAGATGACCTACCCTCCTTGACAGCCTAGGTTCTGGATTCTAGGTTCATGGAGCAGTCCACATACATACCCTAGATGGTTCTGAAAAACAAATAAATTCCTTTTTTCTTTGAGTCATTGGATTGTTTTCATCTTTTTTTCTACAGTGGTTTAGTTGATGCCCTCTTATAATAAATTTCCTCATTATACAGTTAAGAAAACTGAACTTCCAAGGAGTTAAGCAGTTTGCAAATGTCCATATCACTGATAAACAGCAAAGAAAAATTATACAATGTAGTAATCCAAGACACATGCCTATGTGATAAAATATATAAGTGAATAATACGTATAAAATTCAATCTTGTTTAATTTTAAATTAAACATAGAAAACAGTAGAATTTAGGAAGAGATCTTAAACATACTTTGAAGAAAATGGTCAGGGTAAAAAATAGAGTCTGTATTTTATATAGCTCTCAATATATTAACTTGAACAAAAATCACAATCTTCTGCTTTTTGACATATTTATTTGTATAACGGTTCTTTAGTGGTCTACTAGCATTGCCAGATATTCTTATATACCATTACATCATTATGTATATTAAGTTATTAAAATATTTCTGTTCTTGATTTTATGCAAATTCATTTTTATTTATAGTGACTTTTAAGATGTTAGATGGTGAAAGCAAAAATATTCTATTAGAATCCATAGATTGCAAGAGATCCGTGTTTATTAACTTCTTTCTTTCATTAATATTTTTGATTATGACAAATTCACGTGCCTTGTCTTCACTCAGGTAGTTAGGCAATAAAGATGATTGGAATCTAATTTGATTCTCCCCTTCACACACCTAGCACATTTACGCTCACCCCGCTGAGCTCCAACTTCCCTCTCCGCTCTCTCCATCCCTGTCTGCAAGGCAGAACGCTGTCTGCGCAGTTTGTGGTCTGCTGCCCTCACTCACATAGACCACAGGAAGAGCACGGGTCTCAGGAGCTTCTGCCAGGAGCTCTGCGGGTGAGAGGACATGTATTTGAGCTCATCAGCCAGAAAGGGAGGAAGACCATCACTTCAGGGAAGCCCACAGTAGCTTTCTCTTCTTTCTGTGATAAGGAATGTTTGGAGTAAATATATTGCTTTTCATCATAGTTCACAGTGGGAAACAAGTGAATGCAAATCGCTCCCCAGTGAGTTGATCTTAATAATTGATAGTTGGAGAATGACATTAGATCCTTAAAGCTGTCCCTCTGAGGAGAGAAAGGAGGCCCAGTGTTAAAGTGTGGTCCACAGGCATGGCCTAGTGTTTTAGCATTATTATGCCAAACTAACATTTTCTGGTTGTCAGTTTTACATGGAGAAGGCAAAGGGTTTCTTTTGGAAGTTATGTACTTATATAACCTCATGTTCAAGGTACATGTTTGATAGATGGTACACTACAGAGTAATTACAGCATGCAAACGTTCTTGCTTATAAAATGCCAGCAATTTATCCCTTAATTATAGGGAGTTTGTCATATAGTTAATTACCACAGTTTGAGGAAAAGTCATGATTTTTCTGAAGGCTAAATAGATCTGAACATTCATTACATTTGGTTTTATGAAAAGAATTAATCATCTGTGGAAAGTAGCCCATCATATCTCAATGTCCACTTATTTAAGTTACCAGTAACTTTATTACAGCCATTTGTAATATCAAATCATGAAAGATCTAAATTTATATCTGTAGTGAATTATTAAATCAGTTGTGATACATTCCTACAATGGGATCCAGTACATTATAGTGTGGTACTTCTGCTTACAGTTTCTAGAGGTAGACTAGCTGGCAGTTATGGACAATTTTGATCTTGGGCAGCTTACCTAAATGCTCTGTACTCAGTTTTCTCCTTCATAGAATGATTCATAGAATGATAGTCGTTAAGAGTTCAATAAGATAATAGTCAAGCATTTTAGAGCAGTGCCTGGCACCTCTGAAGCCCTTAATCATTACGAATTATAATTATTATTACTATTCCACAGTTAAAATGGATGAGGTAAATCAAGATGTGGAAAGTTTTCTAGTATGTTGTAAAATTTTTGTAAGTTGATATGTATAAAATGTGTCTGTGTATGATGAAGCCAGTTGTGCAAAATACCGCACAAGATATTTCTCTCTAGTAGGAAAGAAAAGAGCATAGAGATGAGAGAGAGAAGGGGGCAGGGTACCTACAGACATTAGTCTGAGAACAACTGACATAGTGGACCTGATTCTCTCTCTCCTGTCTCTGTCTTCCTTCCTTCCTTCCTTTCTTCCTTTTCTCTTTATCTTCCTGTAATGAGGCTATATTCATGAAAAATTGTGTAACTAAAATAATTATAGTGTTTTAAAATTATTCAGTTTTCTTCAGCTGCTCTGAGGAGGTCTTGGTTATGCTTCCTCGTATTGACTGTTGATATGTTCTGATTGAGCAAAGTCCCTTGGAAAAATTTCCCTGGAATAATTTAAATTCCTGTGCCCCTTCCTTATGACTCCCACAAACCTTTTGAGAGTGTTTGGTTTATTTTTCTCTACCAAATTGGGCACGGAGACCTTGGTTGTATCTCGCATGCCTTTATGCATCATGCCCAGGTCCAGCTGTCCTTGGCACACTTGCAGACATCTCCATTTCAGGTCCTATCTGTCCTGGGGCCCTGACACAAGTTGTGTGTAGGTGCCTCTCATTTGCAGGAGCCACAAAATCCCACTGACCGAAGGCCCCAGGGAGCCAAGTCGCACCACTCCTCCCTTTCAAACTTATCCTTTTCTGGCTCCTGCCCTCAAGGGCCTATGCATCCCAAACAGAATCTTCGGGGTTGCTGGCTTCAGGAGGTCTCCAAAAACACAGACACCATTAATTACTCTCGGGAGTCCAAAAACCAAAAGTCTGCCTCTTCTTCTAGGAAATGAAGATGGAAACATTTACATATTCATTAGCTTTACTCTCCTATATTAGCAAGAGTAAAGTAGGAGTTAATATCTTAATAGCTGTGTCACAGAGAGAAAACAAGATAGAGTAAAATTATAGG